ACCTGTCACGTAACACCTGGCCCACCTGCCACACCACACTGCCCTACCTGTCACGTAACACCTGGCCCACCTACCACATCACCTGGCCCCACCTGTCACCTAACACCTGGCCTACCTGTCACCTAACACCTGGCCCAATTGTCACCTAACATTTGGCCCCATCTGTCACCTAACACCTGGCCCACCTACCACATCACCTGGCCCACCTGTCACCTAACACCTGGCCCTACCTGCGACATGGCTTGTGCCCTCTGAGGCTTCCAGCTCACAATGCCCAGCCCGTTAGGGAGAAAGCTGCCTCCGTGAGAGGGTCAGGGACAGGGAGCCCCAGCAGCCCACTGCTGCCCCTCACTGGCCTCTCCCCACAGGCTACCTCTTAGCCTTGGGCCCCCTCCTCTTCATCAGCATCTTCGACGTGTGGCTGCAGCTCTTCTCTCATGACCAGGCTTACGCCATCAACCTGGCTGCCGTGGGCACGGTGGCCTTCGGCTGCACAGGTAAGGAGGGGCTGGGGGCGGGCTCAGGGCGCAGGAGTCCCATCCGCATTGCTGGGCCCGTAGCGGCAGACAGCAGCTGAGCTGGGCAGGGTGCCAGGTGGGTCTCAGCGGGCCTGCCAGTGAGCACAGGCATGCACGCTCATGCACACACGTACACACATGTGAACACCACACACGTGCGTGCTGAGCACAGGTGGCCCCAGGGCTGCAGGATGCCCAAGCCCCACGGGGCGCGCGCCCTCGGGGACACTGTGCTGGGCTTCATGGTCGGGCCCACATCACTGGCTTCCACACTGATTTTTGTCTGGCTTTACTTTTCAGTTGGAAAAAAAAATTCACACGTGTGAATTTGTGTCAAAGTTGTAAAACAATACAGTAACTAGCCCTTCATCCCGCTTCACCCGGTGCTCACGCTTTGTTGCTCCTTTGCCCACACCATCGGCTCTCCCGACAGGTATAAATGGTGTCTCATGGTTATGCCTCTCTCTCTCTCTTAAGTGCAGCAATCCAGCTTCTATGGGTACACGGGGATGCTGCCTAAGAGGTACACGCAGGGCGTGATGACCGGGGAGAGTGAGTATCTGCAGACGCAGGGAGAGGGCGCCGGGAGGGGCGCCCCTGGTTGGGGAGCTGGTCCACAAGCTCTGGGGAAGCTGGGCTGAGGACAGGGGCCCCCTCTTCCCTCCCCTGGGCAGGACTCCATAGCATGTGTGCGTATTTGTGTGCGTCTGCATGTGTGTGCTGTTTGCTGTTGTGACGTGCCTGTCTTCTCTGACATGAGGGACGTGTACCCAGGGCGTGCGTCCAGGTGGCCTGTGCGTCCCCCAGGGCGTGCGTCCTGGGGCCTGTGTGAGGGACGTGTACCCAGGGCGTGCATCCAGCTGGCTTGTGTGAGGAGCGTGTACCCAGGGCGTGTGTCCAGGGGCCTGTGTGATGAGGGACGTGTACCCAGGGCGTGCATCCAAGTGGCCTGTGTGAGGAGCATGTACCCAGGGCATGCATTCAGGTGGCCTGTGTGAGGGGCGTGTACCCAGGGCGTGCGTCCAGGTGGCCTGTGCATCCTTTACCACGTTCACTGACAGCTGACACTTGGCGGCTCTCACTCCCCTCCCTTCATCCATCCATCATCCACTTACCAATAGTCTATCTTATCTCTGTGTATCATCCACCAGCAATTACCAGTCCTCTATCTACCTACTGATCACCCACTGTCTGTCTTCTACCTGTCTTCTAAGACAGCTTCTTACCAGAGCTTAGGACTTTGTGGGGATGCGTGACGCGGACAGGGTGGCATCTGGCGTGAGGGAACACATCCTTAGTGCTGGGACTTCAGACATCCACAGAGGGCTGTGTGGGTTTCCTGGGGCCCCTGAGTTAGAGCCCACGAAATGCCTTTCTCACACTTGATGGAGGGAGAACTGGCCTCCTCCTGACCCCTCACATTTGACCTCCTGGAGCAAAGGTCAGACAGTCTGCCAAGAGCGTCTTGCCAGGTGCACACGCTCTAGAGTGATGTCCAGGCCAAGGTAGGAGAGGGACCTTGCCTAGAATTGTTCCAGGACGAAGGTTGAGCTGCACAGAGGTGGCACTGGGAGGGGGTGTCTCTCACAGGGTGACGCTGTCCCCTGGAGGTGACTTTGAATGGCCCAGGTGTCAGTGAACCTGCATCCTTCCCTTTGTCCTGAAAGGCAACGACGCTTCAGGTATGTTCAAGGAGGAAATGATGGCTGGTCCGCTCGGCAGCACCTTGACAGTTGCAGATGGATGGTCTAGGGTGGTTCCAGGAAGCACCTTGACAGAGCTAGAAAAGATTGAGATTGTTAACAATTTCATCTTATTCCATCCACAATCAACACTCTTGGTACCAGCAGTCAGGAAATCAAAAGACAAGGTGCAGTGGGAAAGTCTGCTGTCAGGGGCCTTGCCAGAGTGCTGAAGAGCAATGATGTCAGTCTAGAGACTAAGGTGTGCCTGATCCAGGCCAGGATCTTCACAATTACTTGCTATGCTTCAGAGAGCTGGACAATGACTAAGGATGATAGAAGAATCTAAGACTTGAATGTGGTGCTGGAGAAGAGTCTTGAACATACCATGGCCTGCCAAGAAAACCAACAGATTCGACCTGGAGGGGGTGAAACCAGGTTTCTCCTTGGAGGCAAGGATTTTTAACTCCATCTCACAGACTTTAGGCATGTCACTGGGAGGGACCCGCTCCTGAAGAAGGACATGTTTGGAAGGGTATGGGGTCAGCGCAGAAGAGGAAGACCCTGGATGAGATGGATTGACACAGTGACCGTGGCACTGGGGGGGTGTCAGACAATGAAGTTGGCTTGAGGTAGGGCAGGGTTCAGAGCTATTGTACACAGGGTCGCTGTGAGTCACAGGGGACTCGATGGCGCATAACAACAACAACACCTATCTTCATGGGAAGCGCTGGTGGCCTAGTAATAAGGAGTTGTGCTGCCTACGGAAAGCCTGAGGTTCAAATCCACCAGCTGCTCCTCAAGAGACAAGAGGCTGTAGATGTTCATTGAAATTAATAATAATAATAATAAAAGAATTAAAAATAAAAAGAGGAGGCAACCTCCTCTCTTGTGATTCACTGCCTGTAAAACCCGCTAGAAGGTCAGCAATCCCAGCTTGATGGCACATAACAGTAATATCTATCTTCATAGATAAGGAGCTCTGGTAGCATAGTGGGGAGGGAGTTTACTGCCAACCCAAAGGTGATCAGTTCTAATCCACTAGTTGCTCTGTGGGAGAAAAATGGACCATCTCCTCCCATGCAACTCACAGCCTCTGAAAGAGTAATGGTGGTGCATTCGTTATCAAAAAGGAGATTTCAAAATACCTCCTGAAGCACAATGCTATCAGTGACAGGATAATATCCACATACATACAAGGAAAACCAGTTACTACAACCGTTAATCGAACATATATACCAACCAAAGATGAAGATGAAGAAATTGAGCATCTTACCAATTTCTGCTATCTGATCAAACATGCAATCAAGATGCATTGATAATAATTAGTGACTGAAAAGTGAAAGTTGGAAGCAAAGAAGAATGACTGGCGGTTGGAAAAATGCGGCGGTGGTGCAGAAGCAGCTTGAAGATAGTGTGATCGAATATTTTGCAATCGATGTCGTTATTCTCTGCCAATGCCTTTTAAAACACCCAATAAACGAAAGTGTGCAACTATGAATGAATGGAAATCCAAAGTCTCTGTAAACTTTCATTAAAATAAATTTTTTAAAGAACCCACAGCAACCCATGAACAGTGACTATACACACGGACCTCCCCTGGCCGAATACACAGGAGTCAAGATTACTGCAGTTGTGCAAAGAGACGGTGGGGAAACAACACCAGCACTCAGAGCCAGGCCTGACGCGGCTGTGAAACTGAACAGCAGTTGTTGTTGTTGTTGTTGTTAGGTGCTGTCAATATGGCTCCTAGCGACCCTGTGAGCAGATCTGAACCCTGACCTGTCCTGTGCCATCTTCCTCGTCTCTGACACATTTGAGCCCATTTCTGCTGTCACTGTGCCAATCTACCTGGTTAAGGTCTTCCTCACTCCTGCTGACCCTCCATTTTTCCAAGCATGATATCCCTCTCCAAGAAATAGCCTCTCCTAACAAAATGCCAAAATATGTGAGATGAAACTTTGTTAGAACATCAATTATTCATGTGCAAACTCAAATTAAAACTGAAGAATATGAAAACAATTTCATGAGAGCCAAAAGACACCTCAGTTTATTCAAGCTAAATTTTTAAACCATCTCAAGAATAGATCTGATGCATTGAGCAGTAACATCTGAGGACCAGATAAGTTGTAGGATGACATCAAAGATGTCACCCGTGAAGAAAGCGGAAGGTCATTGCAAAGAGAGTAAAGAAAGACCAGAGTGGATGTCAGAAGAGACTCTGAAACTTCCCCTCGAACCTGAAGCAAAAGTAAGGAATGAAGAAGGAAAAGAACTGAGCAGAAGGCATCAAGGCATAATCTGAGGAGACCAAGCAAAGTATTATAACAAGTCCCAAAACCAGAAGACAGGAACGTGCTCAGCTTTCTCAAACTGAAAGAACTCAAGAAAAAAAAAATTCAAGCTTCTAGTTGCAATGCTGAAGGATCCTATGAGCAAAATACTGCATGATTCAGGAAACAGCAAAAGAGGATTGAAGGAATACACAGAGTCACTGTACCATAAAGAATAGGTCAACACTGAACCATTTAGGACGTAGCAGATGATCAAGAATCAATGGTAACGAAGGAAGAAGTCCAGGCTGCACTGAAGGTATTGGCAAAAAATCAGACGGGGGGAATTGACGGAATACCATTTGAGGTGTTTCAACAAACATGCAACCTTGGGTGCACTCTATGCCAAGAAATAGGGAAGATAGCTGCCTGGCCAATTAACTGGAAGAGATCCATATTTGTTCCCAATCCAACAACAATCGTCAACATCACACACAAGTAAAATTTTACTGATGATTATTTTTACTGGTGAAAAATTACTAGAACAGTACATTGACAAAGAATTTTTGAAAATGTGAGATGGATTCAGAAGAGGGTGTGAAACATCATTGCTGATGTCAGGTGGATCTTGGCTTAAAACAGAATAAATACCAGGGAGAATAGAACTGTCCAAGTGAGCGGGGCTGGGGTGGGTGGGCTGGGTGGGCTGGTCAGGACAGAGCTGGGCCGGGCAGTCAGGCTGGGCTGAATAGACTGGGCTGAGATGGACAGTCTGAGCTGCATGGGCTGGTCAGGACAGAGTTGAGCCAGGCAGTCAGGCTGGGCTGAGATTGACGGGCTGGGCTGGGCTGGGTAGGCTGGTCAGGACAGAGCTGAGCTGGGCAGTCAGGCTGGGCTGAGATGGATGGTCTGGTCTAGTCTGGGCAGGGCTGGGCTGTGTGGGATGGCATGGACATGCGGGCTTGGCAGTGGATGGAAGCTACCCAGCCCCTGCTGCCCGGCCCCTCTTGCCT